CAGGACACCAGGGTTAATACCAGGGTTTCTTTGGAGACTCAGGACCCCCGTTTTATATCTCATCCAAAGGACAGCGCCTTTTTTACAGTAAAGTGTCCCTATCACTCTACTTAGGCATTAGTATCTACACAGACCTTGGGGTCAGCACTCCCTATTGGTCCCACTAACAGGAGGTCTCCCATCCAGGTACTGGCCAGGCTCAAAACTGTCTTGCTTCATGGTTACCAGTTGTGAGCTGCAGGGTGATCCTGCATAGCTGCTGGAGTACTGTATTATCCAGACACCGTGTAGCTCAGGCTGTATCTCCAAACTGAGCACATCCAAAGCCCCCAAAAAAAGGTGTATGTACAGTACATACTGTAGATAATGAAAAAAACTGAAAAGTCATGATTGCAGAATAATTCAAAGGCAAAGAATAAACTGGAAAGGCCCACAGTAAATTTTAAAAAGTCAGTGGTTGAAATGAGAGAAAATGTCCAAATGTTCAAAGCATGAATTGGGCTAGGAGGACATCAATTCTGAAAGTAAAACATTAATATTCTTTGAGTTTCCTACAATGCACACAGTGTACTGCAGACATCTGTCAAAATTTGTTTTATGGTCAGATGAGACAAAATAGGAATATTTTGGTCTAAATGTAAAATGTTAGGTCTACTGTGAATAAGTGATTCACAGAGCAACACCATCCCTGCTGTCAAACCCCCCTTGTGACAGTAGCCCCACAACATAATACTGCCCCTCGTTATCTGATCCCCAGGGATTGAGAAGCTTGTAAAGATTGAAGGGAAAATGGATGGAGCAAAGTACAGGCAAGTCTTGGAGGAAAACTTGCTTTAGTTTGCTAAAGGCCTAAAACTGGTCATGGAAATTCACCTTTCAGCAGGAGAATAACTCAAAGCACAAGGCCAGAGCCCAACTGGAGTTGCCCTGTCAAAGTCCTGACTTCAATCTTATTGTGAATTGTTGAAAATGTGACTTGTGAAGATTTGAAAACTGCCATCCATAAACAATCAATAAGCACCTTTTGAGAATTTGAGCTAATCAGTTTTCTGTTTCAACATTCAAGTTTTAAATAAGAATTAAATGTATTATTTTACATATAATTGCACAGTATACAGTATGTACTGCATATACTGTACACTGTACATATGAAATGGGACACAATAGGAGGGGTGTGCATACTTTTGCAAAACATATTTAATACCTGCTACTGTACATATCATGTGATGAATATTTAGTATTCAGAATACACTGAAAATGTTCAAACAAAATGAGAACATTCTTTTCCAAATCTGGAATGTAACATCTAATTGTTATAGAAAGTCACGAGAATAATCCATTCAACCTGTCCTGTTGTCAAGTCTGAGGGCTGACATGCAGTCCAGTTAGTTACAGTAAACGCCTGAACTAGTTTCTGAAAGAAAATGTTTTACCTTGAATAAAACAGAATGAAGTAAAACTAAATGACCATAATAGCATAATCAAGAATAAGAACAACCTTAAAGGATTATAAAAATGTGTAGAAGCAAATTTTGCTGTTTGATTGTAATGATGGATTGTCCTAAAGCACATTAAACTTTACTTATTTGTATTTCTCATTCTTATTGTTAATATGAAACAAACACAATCACACGGCTGTCTAATCATCTATTTGTCCTAGAAAATGCACAAACTTACTCTTCAGAACTTACTGAAGATCTGCAATTTAATTAAAGGACATGCAATCTGATTGGGCCTGCTATGTAAGGGGTTGAGGCAGCATTTTCCACACATTTTAAAGGAATAGTTCATTTCACATTAAATACATCAGTGCTTTATGTTAATAACTAGTTGATAATGCAACCGATAATCCATAGAGAAACAACAATGTAGGATCACAGGAACCATAATAAGAAGAACATAAGGATCAAAGAGAACTGTTGATGACATACTGTACAGTAAGCTACTTTTTTTCTCTTATTCTTCCTTCAGGGCTTGTGTTTCATGATCATATCACATACACTGTAAGCCTATGAGATTCTTGTTCAATTCTCCTCTTAAACAGTACTGTTATACAGTACACTACTGTGTTTAAGAGAACAAAATAAAGTATTCAATAAAAAAGTAACCTAGAAAAGTAGATGTAGATAGTAGATGATGTAAAAGTAATGACTTTTTTTTTTGTTAGGAAAGTTTCTGGCAAAACAGGAGCAGTATGAAGACAATATTTCTACAAAAAAATTTCCAAAGCTCACTTTTGCAAAGAAATATATATTTTAGGTAAGCAGAATTATTAGATGATTCAATATGATGTTATTGATAGTTCTCAAAGTCAATAAAACCAAACAAATGGGTCACTTATAAAAAATAAAAAATGGGGAAATGTAAACAGTTCAATAAGAAACTCATTTGGAGGAAGAGTGCAGTGTTTTGACCTCTTCTTCTGTCCATTTTATATTGATCTTTGATAAGTGTAGTGCTGCTGCTTTAGAAAGAAGGAATCGCATGCTTAATAAAGTTACAGTGATAAATACAATTAGTTATGGAAGAGGAGAGAGTGGGCACAGATTAAGCAGGCAAGAACACAGCCACAAATACTAAAACAGTGGTGCAAGATGCCTTTGCAAGGTATATCAGACTTCCCTCACTGGTGTTTAGGTACTGTTTGTGTACAGTATATCCTTATTGTCCCTTAGCATTCTATTCATATAATTAAATCCCTAATACAAAAGTACTACTTGAAATAAAGGAATCTGAGTGTAGTCAATGATTTACTGAACTGCAGTTCAGGTGAAAAACGTATATACTGGCAGCTAAAATGATGAGGACACCTGGACATCATACTGAAATGCAATTAATTATGGACAAATAAGTGCAAACCAATGCAAACTGATTTCATTCTTAAAGGAAAATGCAGTGGAATGCACTCAGTTTATAGAACAATTACTCTTAATATCACAGCTACAGATTCTATGCATTCTGTCAAATCAGTTATGTAAAACATATTGTTTATGATGTTAATTTGAATCCTAATTATGACCAGATCATGCTTATACTGCCTACAGACATACCATCCTGTCAAAAGGACCATATAACTGCAGAGGCTATATTTTTATTCTTATTTTATTACTTAGTTATTTATTCTTAAGTCATCATGAGTTACTTTGACTGTGGAAATTCTCAAACTAAAATACTCTTCCCAAGGTTGCCTTCTTGAGAGCACTACATGGAGTGGAAAACCCCAATGATATACCATTTCTCTACAAGGAGTGTAACTGTAGTTTTTATTTTTCAGTTCTATAAATCTAGCTTCTCCACTGGCAAAACACCTCAAACGTCCAAGTTACCTCTCCCATATCTAGCAGTAAACGCTATACAAGGCACTTCTTACTTTACAAGAATGTCCTTGCTTTGCTCTTCTTATTATGCCTTTATAATATAGAGCAGCACTCCTAACCACACTACTCCAACTTATGGAGACCTCTGTTCACCATTTTTTTTCACATCTTTGACAGTTAAAAACATAAGAACAGTTACAAACGAGAGGGAGCCATTCAACCCTCATAGCTCCTTTTTGTGATTGGTAGATAATCCATCCAAGGAACTGATCCACCTTGGATCCAGCTGTTTGTTGAAAGAAGTCTTCATAAACCTGTGAAGCTTGTTCTGTAATCCCACAACTCCTTGGGAAAGAAGTACTCAAGAAGTCCATAGGATTGACTTTGTCACTGTCTTTGAGGAATATGAATACTTGCATTAAGTGCTCTTGTACTCTTCTGTGGTAAAGTCTAAAATGGGTCAGTTCCTGTAGTATTCAGCCTTTCAGTGTAGGACGTTTGCTGTAGTCCCAGAATACATACTCCACTTTGGTCTGCATTGCCTCTACTTTCTGATGTCTGTTTACATATACAGTACAAGATTCTGCAAAACATTGTCTTTTTATAATTGAGAACAAGAGAACTATAGAATTTTCTATATGGGCCTTCTGGACCTTGCTTCATTGTTGATCCTGAAGAAGTGGATTAAATTCATGAATACCGTTCAGAATTTTGTATATTTGAACCAATTCTTGTAGTCTTCTCCATTCAATACAATTTTATTAAAATGTCAGGGCACTTCATTCCATTAAGTCATCATAGCTGGTTGCTCTTTTTCATAGTAATTCAATAGAATAAATTGATTTTACAAGTTGCCTGTGAAAACCTAAATTGTCTTGATTTTAAATCCTGCATTTCTAACAATATATCCTAAAATGTTGTTCTCCTTTTGATGCACAATCAATTGCATTTTATTGTCTTTCTGGGAACATTATGAGTACTTGCCAAGTACTGTATTCATCCTTCACTCCTTTCCAGGCTTCCAACCTAAACATTTATGCATAGTTTAGTTCTTCAGTAAGATTTAAAGTTGCCCAGATACATTTTCATTGCCAGTACCTTTAAATCTTGAGTAATCTCTGCATTTCTTTATGCAACCTATGTGTTAAAATTAAACTCAGGTTAAAACCACCTTCCTTAAAATACAATATGCATGACTGTGCCCAATTTACTTTCTGTGGTTAGTGTGGGACGTCTGATGAGATAATGATATCACACCTTGGTTTTGCATTTTCCTCCACCACTGCTTCAGCCCTTAGGACAACAAACTTCATCCCAATTTTCTAAAGATTGTCTCAATTGTTTGAGTCACACAATATTTGCAGTAGCTTTATTATTATTTAAAGATTTCTATTTCATGCCATCCTGGTGTTTTCAGGGCACACCCAAAATAACTGACACTATGGCAAATTCATTTTAGTTAATGGCCATTTGGATAGACGGCATCTGATCTTTATTTACCTGGTCAATAGGTTTTGGACAATTCCATAATTTTAACTCTTATTTAATGGAAGAAGGCTGGCTAGATGCAATCTGATGTAAACTGCAATAAAAATTGGGACAAAGCTTTGTTTTGAGAGGGTAACTACAACACCCTAAAATCTACCACTACCAAAAAAGCAAGGGGCACTGGCTAGATTTTACCTGACATCGTTCTCCGAGAACCTCCTCTGCAAATCCTCTTTCTTTCTTTGTCTTTTCTCTTTTTCTTCCTCCTGTGGTTCCTCCTCCACCAAATCTTTGCCTTCCTCTTCCTGCTCCCCTTCCTCTTTATCCTCTACTTTCTCACAGCTCTCGGTTTCCTGCCCCTCCCTCTTCTCCTCTGACCCCGCCTCCTCCTCCTCCTCTTCCTCAGGCAAAACCTCTTCCAAAACCTCCTCCCCCTCCCTCCCACCCTCCTTTTTATCATGCATTGTTCTGGAGCGCCTGGCGGTGCACAGAATAGACAGGAAGGCATGCAAAAGAAGAAAGGAAAACATGTGAACAGAAATAAGAACAACCACCAGACTGAAACATTCAGACATTAAAATGGAAAGAAATAAAAAATGATAGCATTCCAAGTTGACGTAAAACATAAAGCAAGACTGCAGCACATACACTAGAAGAAAAAAGCTCTAGCTGTTTCCATGTTATAAATATCACTTATTTACCCTTTACAATATCAATCACAACATGTTCACTTTCACAGTGCACTGCCAAGTGTGGGCAAACCTCAACAAACAAAAGTAAAGTTCAGACGTTTGGTTCAATTCTCACATAAGCAGAGCCAAACCTGAACTCACTGAATTGCTGGAAATGCGTCTGTCTGAAACAGACATTTCCTTCATGGATAGGGGCCCAGTCCAAATATTTTTGACAGTATAAATATCTGAACTTGGCAACTTTAGTCTGAACCCGAGAACATCAAGGAGGTTCAGTATCCAGTTGTACGTTTGCTCACTCCTGGCTGCTGCACTTTGTTCTATTGGTCGTGTCTGCATGTCAGGTGCCCCACCTGATCTTCCTGTTACCCCGCGGTCTTTCGGACTGGACAGACATGTAGCTCGTGCTGCTGAACCGAGAGGCGCTACTGGTCCTCGACACAGCGGACACGTCGCTCACATCACTGTCCGAAGACTTGGTTGAGATGTTATCCGAGCCCCTCTGTGGGTCTCTCCCCGACCGGTGCTGCAAGAGGGACACAGGCATTCTCGATTAACTTCTTCACCAGAAAAGGAAACATGGGCTATCGAGAAAATAACAGAAAACATATTTTTTGACATATGCATAGAGTCATATGCATATGCATCAGCTAGAGTCACAATACAGGAAAAAAAATATACAAGAACATTTAGATATACATACATATATTGCATCAGATTTATATATTCAAATCCAAACTAATTATAAATATGACTGATTAAAAAAAATAAATGTTTGTAAATTAAGTTATTTATTTATTAATTAATTAATTTATTATCTTCATATTATCTTCATGCTTTTAAAGTTAAATATTTAGTCATTAGCACTTACTGTATGGATACACAAGCCTCAGTGTAGAAGTACATAATTACATCCTAATTCTAGACTGTTTTTAATAAAAAAACTGATTAAATTTCTACACTCACTACCTTTAGTAATATAAAATGTACAATATGTTATATACTGCAAATCAAAACAAAATGAATGCTTTTAAAAGAAAGTGATCTTATATCCGACAAAATGTATAAAGTTCTAAGGTAAATACAAGATTAAATGGTTAAAAATACGTATGTGAACCTGTAGAGGTCTTGAGATCACCACTTTATAACTATATACTGCATGCTTTTCATAGGTATAAATATTTCTTTGATAGAGATAGTTGCAGAATTTCAACAAACCAAGATGGAGATGAAACTACAGCATATCAACACAAAATTAATTAAACCCATTTGCACATGAAGCAGATTAAGTGCTTAACTTGAATTAAACAATTAATTTATTTTATATAGTCCTTTTTATCCCAAAGCATCGCACTCCACAGCAGATCAAGTGAAAATTTGTTTTACCATTTGAATTAAGGGAGTCCAGATTGTGCATGTTTAGAGCAGAAATTAGTCAAGACGATGTTATTACCATCTCTACTCTTACAAACTGTATTGCAAAATTAAAAGGATACAAGAATGTAGTTAAAGGTAATACATTCCTTGGAAAACCCTAACAAACTGAATTAAATCTGTTTTGTAGTCAGCAGAACCACAAAAAAACTGCTCTCATAACTTCAAACGTTACAGCAACATCTTACATAAGAGTATCATCAAAATCTGACACAAAAACAGCATCACACGTAAAGCTATGAGTACATAAAATTGAGATCAGGTGCTAAAATAATATGAAGATAGCTGCCACTACTCTATTGCTAGGACTCTTGCTGAAAAGAGAAGAAAGCAAACAATACGTTTTGGCCGTGGAGCCTTCTCCTGAAGGAGCCTTCACTTTCTCCTGACACACCTGAAGAAGGCTCTGCAGTCGAAATGTTGTGTTTCCTTTCTTCTCTTTTCAGCATGGAATAAACCTATTACTTGTTCCTTATAAAAGATGAGTTTGTTGACTTGCCTTGGAATGGTAGTCCTGCTCCAGCCTGGAGTCTGAGCCAGCTCCTTGTTTGTATTTGTTCATTTTCAGCTTCATCTGCCTTGTCCTCTCTTCTACATCCATAGCACCTGAAAAGGGGAAAGGTACCAGAGTCAGCAGAGTCCTTTGTACTTAGATCTGACACATTCATGTGTGATGGAAGCCTTGTGAGATGTGGAATGAGCTACAGTATGGTGTTAGTGGGAGAAAATATGTGAAGCATGAAATAAAAAAATAAAAGGCCTCTATAATTTTTATAACCCTAGCTTTTCCTAACAAACTCTTCCAGCTAAACAACTACTACTTTTAAGCCATGAGCACAAATAGATTTTAATAAATAATCAAATTTAAACTCCTCTACATCACATTTTTTTCCTAGCAAAGCATTCCCCTTGACTGAACAAACATGATACATTTTTTCCATAAAATAACAAATAATGTATACCAGATAAATACAAAAAACTCTGAGTTGATAATATGCTTGTTCTGAAAAAAGAAAGTGAATAGACACACAACTAGGACCATCAGATCTTGAGGTGGACATAATGTCAGATTAGTTTTAATCTCATTTTACAGTCAGAAGATAAAACCATACTGTATACTTCATTCGGAACATGTGAATTGTAGATCACATCAATCCTGCTTTGTGTGAAAATGCCAAATCCAATTGCCCTCATAGCCTAATTGCCTAAAAAGCTGATGGATCAGGTGTACAATTCTGTAACTAGGCACAGAAGTAATGTATTACTAAAATGACGCATTAGCAAAGTAATTCTGGAACTAAAGATAGTGAGAGGGAATTGTACAGAGATTGTCCGTTTCCATAGATTGTTCATTTGGCTAAATTAATTATAAATGGCCGGCATTCCAATATGTTACTCTCTATAAGTTTAATGGCAATATACAGTACATATACAGTACAATATACACACTGTATCACTTAGACATGATGCGCCACCCTCAGTTATATAAAAGTCTGCACAAATGCTTGACTTCTGAAAAATCCCCAAATCTCAAAGCAAACAGATGCAAATCTAGGCAGGAACAGAGGTGAAAAGAGGGAATTCTGTGGAAGGCACCACAGAATAGGAATAAGAACTGACCCCTATGGTGCAGTAGCCTTCTCTCTGTATGTTAGAAGTTACTTTAATAGCAACTGAACTCTTCTGGAAATTAACATTTGAAAAATAAACCTTTATAACTTAAAATATTTTAAAAGGGAAGTAAACCAATTAAAAGCAAAATTTTGAATAGTGGCAATAAAATACTATATTACATACTATACAAGAGTTAGATGAGGACAGCTGAAAGTAGGTTTTAAATTTTACATGACTTGGCTGGTCTTCTCTGTTGTCCATGTTTTGTCCACATCTCATTCACACTGATTTGACATTTGAAGTTCACCTCTAGTGCATTTGCTACTTTACTTGTACTGTTAAAATATCTGTATATAATCTGGTTATGTTTTATGTTTTCAGTTTCAAATTTAATTTTATCATACAGACAGATGCCATATTTCACTATAAATAAATCCTTTATAGATCTGGTACTCTTGGGCACAAGATCATTATATCAGAAACAAAGATCATTCATTCATTTTGTTTTGTGGCGCCATTTGTCTTCATGTAAAGTGGAATGTTTTCCTGCACAGTGTGAGTAACATTCATTCATGGGCAGCAATATTGTCTGAAAATAAATGTAGTGCATGCCCAACACTCCGGCTTGTTTTGAAAGAACATCATACACATTTAACGGAAACAACAGACACTAATTATACCCTGCATGTCTTAAATTCATGAAAAGATGGCAAAAACTTGAAATAGTTGCAAATCAATGAGTACAGCAGATGGTAATGGGCATCTACATCAGACTGTAGTTCAGAGCAGTTTTCTGTAAATATAGTATTATACAGAATCAATACTGCATTGTAATTGTTGCAATCCTGCACAAAATGCATTGATATTCTAAGGAAATACAGTATCTATTGAGTTCCACGATAGTGCATCTGCTACAACAAGGGGTTGGACCATGGTGACTTAGAATAAAATCCCACAGATGTTCATGCACAAGTGACTGAATCAGTGCTTACTACCAGTGACCCATGCAACACTCCGCTACACTCTCACATCCTAACATGCACTCCCAGCTATGTGCAAAACATGACAGTAGCCCGATGGATAACTCTACTGAGTGTAAAACCAACCAAGTTATCGGCAAGATAATAAAAGACTCGGTATACTTGCAAACAAATGCCCTTTGCAAAGAGAATCTGCTGACAAATTATTCTGGGCAAAGAAAAATGATCTAGCCATTTTCACATGTCGGGAGTTATGGCAACCCACAGCCTGTCCCAGAGACTTAGCACATGATTGCTCTTAACCCTGGACAGCACACTACTCCATCAGAGGGCCACAGAAAAAGAGTCCATTTAGAATAGTCAATCAAGCAAAGTCATAGCCTAATCTAGAAGCACAGGTTTATATACTGTGGGCCTACACCCTGGATGAGACACCTGTCTATCACAGGGCACATTACAAGCATATGTATTTCGGAAATAGGAGAAATCTGAGCTCTGCGCACAAAAAAGCATCCTAGTCAGGAATTCACCCAAAGACCCGGAGAGCTGTAGGCAGCAGAATGAACCACCATGCTATTATGCCGCACACAGGGAAAGCTACATTTTGCATATGCTGTAGTGTTTCAAACATGTGCTGTGGTCTTACATTGTGTGGTACAGTACTTGCGATGTGGATTGGTTTACTGTAAACACATTTTACTGTTTTGGCGTGTTACTTAAGATGGACATCAAGTTTTGAAGGGATTCAGAATTGAACAAATGAACCCAAATCTTGACCTAATCATCTTTTATGCAAGATATACAGTACCATAAATACTAAACTAACTTCTCTAATTCAAATTAGACAAGACGATCAAGGGTATTCTCTCATTAACACCTCAATGGATGGTTTCACAGACCAAGACATAATAACATTGATCCAAGATTAGTGCATATCAGGGTCTGTGAAACCACTGAAACAGTATTGAATAAAATATATATATATATACAGTAATTTACAACCCTTTCAAGTGTGTGAGATCCCTAAGTCGTTTAACATCTGTTTTTTGAAAACAGCTCCTGTGCTCCCCTTGTTTTAGGAAAAGTAAAAAAACAACGAGGCACTATGAACATTAGAAAAGACTTTGCAACTGTCCTACCTGGATCTCCATTCTCTGGCTCTGCTTCATTCCTCTCTACTTTTTATTTTAAGATGGCAATGAAAAGGAAACACAAAAATGAGAAAAAAAACAGAACAATAAAACAGTGACGTTAAAAAAAAGAACAATAAACAAGGCGTTAACAAAAAGAGAAAAAGAAATGACATGAACATTTATGTAAGTAACTATTTGGCCTCATACTGTAGATGATATTTCTCTTTGTCGTCTGTGCTGCATAATCATTAAACATGAAATCTTTGAAATGCAGCAGAATAGCTGTGATCGGATATTTTGTTGAACAGTAGCTCATAACTCTTAAACCTTTGAACATTTAAATGCAGTATTTGTTTGTCTGAAAAACAGTCACCTGGGCCTGCCACGCTTGTAAAGGGTCAATAAAATATAGTTCTGTTTTTGATACTGTGTCAAATCATTCATGCAGGAAAAATTTTGAAATATTTTTTCTGATTTGAGTTTGTACAAGTGAAAAGACAAAGATTTAGAAAATACTGCTTTACGGGCTGTAAAACCAGAATGTTTTGCACTATAATGAAGTAGTTACAAGACGTCCCATCTAATTATATTCACATATAGTAATGTACAGTATAATGGATTTTAGTTGTTTTCTAACTTACAGTATGTAGCATTGTTTTGTGGCTAAGGCATTTGGTATGTCTATGATCTCACTATTTACCCCAAATCCAAATGAACGTCAACTTTTATCTTTCTCTGTAAAAATAACCAATGCTACCCGTATATTTGACAGAAGAAAACATGATGTATAGAAGGCAATGCACACAGACTAAACTACAAAGTATTTCTCAGAGGTTCTTACTGTAGCTCGTATTTTAATTTATTTCTCTTCTTCCTGCAGAACCCATTGGCTAATTCATTTACTTTTGATTTTTTAAGTAAAAAGCAACAAGGGTTTTAGCTTTTAGAATAACATGCAAATGCTATACAGATGTATTTGTTATGAGCCAAATAAAGGTTGAATCTTTAGCTGGCTTATGCTAGATTTTTAGCAAGACAAGACAGCCTTTACATTTGGATCCACATGTGATTTTAACTCCCATTTATTTTAGAAAATGGACTAAGTTTTTATTTGGTCTGTTATATAGCACATTCAGCCATTTATGTAGTACATTGCTCATATATCATCACCCTACATCATTCATTCAGCTATTTTCTTTTAATTTGGCAGGTACTGTACATCAGGACAATCATCAAAGCTGCACCAGAATCACAGCTGAACAGCACATCGTGCAAAACCTTCTCACCACTTTAGGGTTCTAAATATCAGTAGTGTTTCTAGTGCATTAAAATAATTTTTAACAAGTGTGTGGATGTATGAAGGATTCTACTTCAGCTTTCACTCTTTCACAATTGCCTTAAGAAAAGTCTTATTATTGTACAGACTTCTGACTTTTTAGATCTTAGACGCTGATTGTTTCACCAGACAAACACTGTTTAACAGACTGGAATTATCTACAAAGGTTTCCTGGAAAGAACTGTATTGCATTATTAGTCATTATCAGTGATTCGGTTTTCATAGAACTAATTTGCTATGTTCTATTTTCATAGAAATGACGAAGACTTAAATGTTTACTATTTTAAAACCTTAGGGGTTTTCATACTTTAAACTCTGTATATTTTATATCAATGATTTTATGCATTAATGTATTTTAAATATTAAATATGTTATGACCTTTTGATTAAAAATGTGCAAATATAAACAAACATTCTGCACTTACCACCATGTCTAACAATGCTTCCTTTAGAACTTATTTTTATGAAAGTTATAATTTTGTAATCAAAAGATAATTACTGTATGTACAGTATGGCACGAATACCTGACAATGCATTATACTGAATGTATTGTTTGTTCAGATCAAATGAAAAAGTCTTTCAGACTAGACAACATTCTATACCTATGTAGCCTGTATATGATTTTATAAAACCACATAAGCCAGAAATGCCAGGGATACATTCTGAATTCATATACAAATACATTCACACATACAATCTACAGTATAATGTAAAAACATGTAAGAACAAGGGGTTTTTGTGTTCCATGTAGACCCAAATACAACTAGAGTAATTAAATAAGAAAATGGAGACAACGTAATATTTATAATGAGTTTAAAGAAAATAATTGCAAACATAAAGTGAAATACAGTTTGCAGCAATTCAGTCTGTTTAATTTCATGTAAACACCAATATTTAAGCAATATACTGTACCGTATAAGACAGTTTTGTCACCAGCAATATTTAACTAATGCTGAAAACACCATTCAGCACACATTTCTAAAAATATTGAACACCAATTTTATACTTGATACTTAATAAATTAGCTGTTAGATTCTGGTACCCTGTACAATTGCAAAAACTAGTAATACAGTATATTAATGGCTATTAAAAGTATTAATAATTATAGTAAAATTGTAACATATTCTTTGAAGAAAATTGCATTTAGCTGGAAGTGTTTTTGCAAATAATACATAAAGATAAATCCACATTATCTGGTAGAAAAATCTTAGAACTAGACATTAAGTGACTTTGTTTTCTGATCAAAAATATATCGCCTATGACTGATAATCACTCCTATGAGACTATAATACAGACTACAAAATATAGTATAAAAATGAGATTTTTGATGAGTATAGAAATGAGAGCACAGGTACCTGCAAATATTTAATATTTGCAATACTCAGTTGGCTGTTACCATGTCATTTGCACAGTACATGTCGTTTTCCACAGAAAAATGAAAATGTTCACAAACTCACACTCCAGACGTTTCTCCCTTTCACTGTTTTTAGTATTAGCTTTTATTTCTTTTCGGTACTAAAATGATTATTACAATATTAATAATGCGAAGCTCAGTCTTAAACCTGTAGCACATCAAAAATATATCTTATAATTGCCCCCCAAACCACCATACCCACAAAAAAGACAGCTTTTTAATGAAAGCATTCTGCATATTTTTAAAGCAGAAATGGAAATTTAGGCTTGAAGGCAGGTGTACATGTTTGTCTATATTATGTATATCTGTGTGTATTCAAATATACACACAGACAAACAAAGCCATGACTTTGATGACTAATGAGCAATGAACGCTAATGATGGAGGAAAGAAGAGGAGGAGACGTTGAATAATAATAAGGGAAGGAGGAGAAGGAAGTGGGTAGTAAAAAATAAGAATGGAAGGGGGGGTGGAAGAAGCAGGAGAAGGAGAAGTGACAGACCTGAGTTCCTCCGACGGGATGAATCCGTGTCTTCTGGGATCACACCACAGAATGGACAGACATAGACAGAGGAGAGGGGCATGAGTGGAAGCTTTCAGAAGGTGAGAAGCGACACCGAGGTAGGAGCAAATGGGCCCAGAGAGGAAACCACCACCACATCATCAAAAATGGAGGGAAAAGAGGGGCGGGGAGTTGGAGACAACAACAACAACGCCAGAAACAGCACGGTAAAAAAAAGACTGCACACACAAAACACAGACCACGAGGAAGAGAGAGAGAGAGAGACTGGAAGAGAGCTCGTTATGCTGACGAAGGAAGGAAGAGTGTTACTGACGGCGGAGGGAGGAGAGCTGAAAGGTTAAAGAAATGTTAATGAGAACACGTGGAAAAGAGTCCAGACAGACAACCTGAAGACCTTGGAAGACGGAGCGAAAAAGTCAGGTTCTTAAGGATACGTCTAATTGCTTTGACAGGCTCTAGTTTCAGCTGCAACAAAACCGCTCACCAAAATACCGTTACGATAAACAAACACAACAGAATGCGCCAAACCTTGGAAATGCTGTAATTATATACAGTACTCTATGACTGAAATATTTAGACAAACAGTGTATATTTTATGGAAATATTAAACTATTTTACTATTGCCTATTCAGATAATGTAATACATCTCTAGGGCTTACAGTTAATGTATTTTCTCATTAGCTCAGGAGGAGGAAATATTTTCAGTCGTGAATATTTTCCTCTAATTAAGCGCTTTCCACTCTTGCCTTCTTTGGAGAAAAACTGCTGAGGACTTTATGATCAACTGTGCTTTCATCCTAATGTTCTTAATCATATGCAGCGATGCGTTTTTTGATGTCGGATTACACATAAGAGGGATCTGCTTGCATTTCATTAGTTCTAGTCTAAATAATTGCATACACAATGTCTAAACAAAGTACAGAGGGGTCATAATTAGATGCTGAGAGGTACTCGCCATTTGTACAAAGTACTGCAAACAAAGTACCACAATTTACAACTCTTTGTAGTCCTTCTAATGCAAATTAAAACTGTTGTTACCCTGAATACATGAGGATCTGTTATACTGCATTCTACTTGTCTTACTGAAAAAAAACAAGACATGAAGATACTGTAACCGAAAATCTGCAATGCTAAACCTATGACAAACTCTTGTGGAATAATTAATTTAGGAAATATAGTCCATTTTTATTGCCAACAATCCTTGTGTTATTATCCACACATCCTTCAGATGCTATCTTATCCAATTATTGTTAAATATGCTTTGTAATACTGTATATATACACACAACTGAACTGACAGTAAGACCGACAAGACACCGGTACATATTATTTATTGCACAAATTAGCCCACAAGTAAACTGATTTTAATTGCACAGAACATGCAAATTGCCAGATTATGATTTTTTGCTACTACTGCTATAAAAGGAGTGTTAAGAGTTAAAAGGGAAGAATTCTGAACACATTTTCCGAAAAAATGGAATGCAAGTGCAATTAATCTTCTAAAATGCCAGATAACATACAGTACAGTGCAATGCTAAAAGAGACAGCCTTTGAAACGATACAGTACATTTACTTTGTTATTCTCCTGATGTACAAAAGGTGCTGTACTCTATCTTGAGCTGCTATGTCAACAGCAGTAGTAAATCATTTGAGTCTTAAGTGTATGCACTGCTGTTACATTATCATGCGGTATTTGCAAAAATGTTTTTGAGCTGCATATAAGGTGGTGAAGGCATGGCTCCCTCCAGCACTTGATACACTGCATCAGTCATGAAAAACAGTCACATAAATAATAACCTGTTTAATCTAGCCTTAAAAACTTTTCACTCAATACACCAACTCCTGATACACTGGATTTCTTATCAATAGCGATCTAAGTCTAAGAAAATCAGTATTATGTAGGTTATGTAATTATACAACCTCCTTCTTTTCATACTGTATGTACTGTACACAGAAATGATGAATTTCCCTGGTTCATCACTGCTCCAAAGGAACAATCCAAGCTCCACCTTATTAATGATTGTATTAAGAAGCTCCATTTTTATTACTCTATATTTACCATGGAATGCAGCTCTGCAGCAATATTAATTTCATTTGATAACGGTATTCAGACAAATTTTAAAGTAACGCTACCGTTACACCCTTACGCTACATTACCTGATCCCTACACATTGTTTAGAGCAGTTTTAGGAGAATCTTACTGGGCTGCCCTAAATGTTCTGCAGCATCCCTTCATTACTGCAACAAGTATTTTCCACTTACATTAAAAAGTGTAAAAAGAATATGGTGACAAGAAAATGTTACTGAAATTGACATTTCTGTCTGACTCCCAACAATTCAGTGCACTTTTTAATTTATTTTGCAGTTGGTATATAAACAACATACTGCACACACAGTGATACAGTATCCAGACCAAAGGGGTAGTGTAATTGTGGATGTCATATCCAAGTCAGTATGTCATCACAGCTTCATGCAATGAAGAACAGGATAGTTTATTAAAGGAATTATATTTATGTACGTGCACTATTAGATATATTTATTGTGCACTCAAAACTTCATGAATATCCTTATTAATCTGCCTTAGTATAGCTTTAAAATGCTGAGATACTGCGTATGTATATTTCATCGGAAACCTTTTCTTTCTTATGGCTCCAATAGTAACAGTGAGACTAATAAAAATATATTGGCATAAGAAAACTGCAAAAGTATCCATATTCTTTCTGTAATTACTTCATACACCATACAGCTGCAGATGCATTACTTTTTTCATTTTTTTCATTTCTTTATTATATTCTTTCCAGCACTAAAATCTAATTTCTACACACATATATATAAAACGAATCAGCAGCCTGTACACATCCCACGCATTCTAAACTCTTTTGCCTTCATGACAATCTTGTTTCACTTCTCAATATACAAGTCAATAATACAATCATTTATAACAAAGTGACATCGTTCAAAATTAATGAATGTCATTATATATTTTTAAATTAAAATCTGAAGCAATTTCTAAGAGGACCATTTACACATACTGACTAGAACAGTTGTCAAGAAAAAAATACGTGGAATAATAGTGATCCTTAACATGGTGAAATGTTTCTTTTGCTGGTGTAGGAGGGGTTTCCATCTGAGAGCTGGCATTCTGGGAATTACAATGAAGAGCTGGGCATACTGACCACAGGACAGACTCACAGTGAGGGTCTGCAGAGGGCAAATTATGTTATGCTTCTATTTCTGTTTTAATGAAGTACGGAGTCAAATTAAAACAAACAGGTCAACAAATTAAAAAACCAAATTCAATCAATGTCTGAATGCAATCTTAATCGAGAAATAAAATGCTCAATTAATTTATAATAGTTCAATTAATTTATCACCTAGGGAAACAAACTGAATGTAATCTTCAACTTGGAATACCGACACTGAGGCAGTGCCATACTGTAGTTCCAGAACACAAGTTTGACAAAAAAAACCCTCAAAGCATAGTGATGGTTCAAAGCAATCTTAAACACACAAAGAACTTTTGAAAAGAAAGCAGACAATGAAAGCTAAGAAGGGAAGAGAAGAAAACATTAATGACAAACAATTATCAAGCTAGATAATTGTATATATTTTTTTCCTCATTCCTTATAACTCTTTCCAGGCTGAATGAAACTCTGGGAATGTATTTACACAAACAAAAGGAAAGCTCCCAATTATCTAAGTTCAGGGAATGGTTGTATCCAGTCACGTGCAAAACAAGGTTATTTTTTCACTCAAGCTTTGGAAACCATGACATCTGTATTAAAGTGATTATTTACCAAGGTCTCACATGAGCTTCAGTACTGTGTTTTGCACAATGAAACCACAGACGCGGTTTAAACCCATTTTGTTTTTTTACTCCTTAGTGACATAAATAATACACGTCGACATATAATACAGTGACTAGACAAAAGGACAAATGCATTAAAACCTGCAGTACCATCAGCCTGGAAGAGTTTCCTGTACGAAGCTGGCTACTGTGTGTCCACACTGATCTATTTCCACAATACTACCTTTCCACATCACAACGTTGAAGAAAGAGCTGAGAAGAACAACACAAGGTCGACAAGCACTAAAGCATGAGGCCCCCGGACTCCCACCCTCCTTTCTCCTCATCCTCATGCTTCGCTTTGCCACACTTTTTCACACCCTGACAAACCTGGCTCAGAGGGGCGTTTCTGTTTCGTCCTGCCCTCAGTTACCGTACCATTCACCTTTCTCTGCTGGTCCTCCCAGGTCACTTCTGATACAAACCAAAAGGAAAGATGGCCCATCATGTACAACTTAAGTCGGCGAAACACAAATGTTCCAGCTAATTAAATACAAATCCTGAGCTACGTCACATTGACAGCAGTGGGGCTAAAGTCTTTTAAAAATTTTCTTTTTTAGCAAAATTACACATACAAAATATACGGTTAGAGACAGTCTGCATGCATGAAACTGGGCTTTGCAGGTGAACTAAATGAAGTGAGAATGTGATAAAAGAGCTTATTGCAAATTTAACTGAAAGTAGGCATTTTTTACTTCATACCAGCACAAAATTATCTGAGCTTTTTTTCTGTACAGTTTTACCACAATTAAAATCCTCATAACTCTGAATGGCTTAGTTTAAAGTGATACCTGTCAGGAAACAGTAAAATGTAAAAAATTATGCCTTTTAAATTCCACACTACAAAACTCTTACTCAGCTCTGTTTTATAGATACAGTGTGTGAATGTAAATGAAAAGTAGAGGGAGCCTTCAAATATTTTGCACTCTGTACTTCCTGATGCTGCAATTAAGGCACAATGATATTGATAGTGTAATTTCTTCAAGGCAAAGCCACTGCTTGAGCTCTGTTTAAATATATCACAATCATTTTCAGATTAACTAACCGGCTTTCTGCTATGTTTTGGAGAAATTGGTATTTTTAGGATAATAAAAACGATAATAGTTATGAATATTGATTGCTCAACGTCAAAGAAATAGATGTTTGAATGAAGATCAAACATAAGACTTGACATATTACTTTTGCTCCACCGTTAACCAGTAAATATAACATTCCATCACTTCTCATCTTCCTTTGCATTAGCTCTTTTTTGTTTACTAAATGAAAACAACTGAAACAGAAAAGAGAACTAAAACATGACTTTGGATCTAAGGTTAAAATAGCATTTATTACCTTAATAGTCCAGACATAAAAGTTATTAACCATAATAATTTCATGTAACTTAGTACAAAACAGATAAAAAAAAACGTGTATTGTGGTAATTTTGTCTTCACATTATTGCTAGATTTCTACCAAGCTGCTTTACTGCTATACTCAAAATACTGTATAGCACATACCTGTAGATAAATGTATGTTGATCACAATTATAATAAAATATGTCTCAGTTCCAGTTTTAATTATAATAAAATAATTAAAATTGTATAGATTAATAATGCACACTTAATATTGCTGCTGAATGTTTTTTTTAAATTACTGTCAGATTCAAATAAATGTTTATTTTCAAATCTGGGTTTACTGTATGTTTCCAAAAGGTTTCAGAAAAAATAATAAACAGTGAATCACTAAAATTACTATTTGGACTGAATAAAATTGCATTTTAAATATCTGAGATTAAATATGGCTAATCACACAATCTATTTTATCTTATTGACAATAATCATGTAGACTAATTTGCAAAGCACTTATCCACTGTCTTTCATCACTGCCTATATTGAATCTAAAAAGAATGACATGCAGAAATAAGTATTCTTCATATTTCGCACTGATATTGTGGATACCTGTTTCTTTGCTTTCAGCACTTATGATGGGACAGCTCCTATTCTTAAAATATAGGAACTCCTATATTTTAGCTCCATCTGCTGGTATTTTGAAGAAAAACATTTTCCCTCACAAAGCAGCATCACTTAACTTCCTACGCCTTGTGATATTTCAATGAATTGGATGTTTCTACTGTTAAATTATTAATGTAAATCAACCGATCTTCATATAAAGTATTCAAGATTTATTCTTACAAGAACTGGGAAACAAATAAGAATACAGTATACTGTATATACTGTATGTCCTTTATCAAATGGAAGACACTGAAAGGAGTAAGCAATCATGAGAGTAGTAAGAACTACTTCAAAATTGTATATTTAGATTACACTGATTGTGATTTCTTTGATATAATAGTATAGGTTCAATTGTGAATGTCACATGACGCTGTTTCTGAGTTTAAATTCATACCATTTAAAATGTAAGGAAATGGCTCATTCTTCAAACATTTTAGCTGAGTACTTTAAAGTTTCTTCTGAGTATATCAATCCAGATTAAATTGAATTAAGGCCTAAAGGTTAAGATATAGAGTAGGAGGACAAACATTAAGATACTTTTTAATATTTTACACCTGTGTAGCAAACTTAAAATACTTTGACTAAATTTGCATAAACCGAACATACAGTATAATACGGTTCTCACTTTTTCCATCAAAGAAATGGAATCACTGAGCTATTTGTGCTCTAAAACACACAAGACAGTACATACTAAAACAGTCTATTTAAATCACACACATCAAAAGGCATGCCAGCTCTAAATCACAATGCTAAGAAAAACCACCGTCACACTTCAAAATGTCAAAGGAGTATCTGGTTAACTTGCCTTTTCTCCCATTAACTGGTGGACACTGAGGTTTTTCCTCATATTCTTAATGGAATTTGGAAACAGATAATGATGTTAAAGAATGATAAAATACTTCATGGACAAAACCACATACATACACATTAAACCACCTTAGCAAACTACACTAAAGCTAAGAGCTGCATCACACCACTCAGGTTTTGAAAACATGTGTGAAAATTAGGTTGTAGTTGTGTAGAAAATACATTTTTTGATTGTGCAGTAAGGTTGCATTTCACAGAATGCTTATATTCTAAATTAATCTGAAAATACCGAGTGAAGAAACTATATGATCTACTAATAACTTTTGAGGATACAGTACCACTTATAAGAAATAAGTGGTAAAAAACAAGAAAATAAAAGTATACAATATCATTTATTTTTCCTTATTGGTGTATATACTGTAGGTTTTGTATTCCTGAAAATGAAAGCAAGGAAGACTGCTGGTGATAAATCAATATTGTACATAAAACATATAATATAATTAATTAAGTAAATTATTATAGAGGATTAGAAATGCTGCTATTTGAAACATTTACAATGGTTTAAATAGCATTCTGTGCTAGGCAATTAAATAACACAAACCAAAAGCGAAAATATTGCAGTAATATTTCAGATTCAAATATGCAGGATACATAAACAGAAAACACCAAAAACACAGAAGCACAAAAAGGGGAGAATAATTTTACTGTTGGAAATTCCAGCATTTGCCAATGAACCTCTTAAAACTTGTTAAAACAAATATTGTTAATATAAAAAGAAAATATGAATAGTATACAGTATTTCTTCTCAGCAGTATACGTTTTTTTTAATTGTACTGCACTTCTCTACATCAGACCATAAATCTACATATTTTAATAATATGTGCCAACAGAGGAAATATCTCAGGGCTGTAATAATCTGAAAGATGTGTTTTCTTGGTTTGGAAACAAGAGAACCTGTAATCTGTGTTATTGTTATACGAATCTGAGATGAACATCTAGAATTTAGGTGATTGAGGCATTATCTTCTTACAATATTCTAGTGGACAGGTACATGCTCAAAATGGTAACTGCAGTCCACACCTCTCAGAGGTAAATAACCTAGACCATGCATGCAATAATACAAGAATGCACGTCATGGATTGACCAATCTTTAACCCAATGAAGAAGTCTGTGTATTATCTGTGGAGTATTGAAACTATTAGATAGCCAATGTCCAGCATGTTATCAGTTGCGACAGCATTCAAGCAGCTGCTGAATTCGGTTGTATGGAATTTCCAGCAGGGCCAGGGAAGAGTCTAGGCTAAGGCTTTTCTATGAGACACACCTGCCTCGCACTCTGAGCCCTGCAGCTCACCGTGCTCATTCTCTTCCCCTGCTTCCTCTGTGGGCATGGAGATCATGAGACAAAAACACAGACAGGGCGGATGGTTATGGTTGATAAGGCAAGGGACTAGCAGAGAGGCATATAACAACAAAGCCGAAATAAATATGCACATATACAATAACTGCATATGCATATACTGTATTTGTACATGAACATGTACAGTACACATGTTTACAGGACTTATCCCTTTATATCAAGTTTTCATGTTAGTTTTTTCCGATAGAAAAAATATATATTCACAGAAACCAACAGCCTGTTTTCTGTCTTTCCTACTAACAAATGGACTCTACTGAAAATGTACCATTATGAGTTTGTCATATTCGTTTTTGAAGTTTCAAAGTAGTTTTGCATCCACTTTTCCAGTGGTTTCTTATGCTTTTAACATGCTCTCAATGTGCTTTACCATACATGACCAGAAACAAACAGATAAACATGACATTATGGAAAACAACACAGTATAGTAAAGCGCTGTAAAGCAAGTAAAAACGTAGGAATCTAACAAAGATCTCATCATGGTAAGATTTGACTACAGAATGATAAATGTGCCATGACCAACTTTCACAAGGTAAAAAACCATCCCAGGTTATGCAAGACTCAAATTATGCAAATTCGACTTTACATATTTACTGAAATTATACTGTACTTCCCATAATTTCAGGATAAGGAGAGTTTATGTTACGTGCAAATAGTGCAGGCAGTCCAGCACATTTCTTGCACTGATGAATAATGTGGAGGGAGCATAATGCGGTCCCGAACAGGGCTCTGTTAGACCCTTAAGTCTCACTCTGCTTTCACGCATGTGTAGATATCTTTTGCATGTTATCTTGTACTTTTCATTGGAAATTATGTGTAATCTGTATTGCAAAAATTTCAGGGTGGCACCCAAGTGACTTTATTTAATTTTTATTAGTTGCTGGGGAATTTTGTTTGTGTTAAGAACAGTACAGTGAACAAGTGAACAATAATGAACTGCACGGTTTTTTAACATTTGTTTAATAATAATTCAAATTTGTTTGCCGTATATTTTGAAGTGGATTCTATATTTTGGTGTTTAATTATTCTAATTGTAGGTTTAAAATATGTTTTTCATTCATCTGTATTTCATTTCTCTTCCCCTATACAAATCGGGCAAGTTTCCTTTCTTTCCTTTCACCGTGGATGGCTAGCTCCTGCTGCTAGTTTCTCTCTCTTGCTCTCTACTCCCATCCATGATTAGCACAAACACCTGTTAATCATTAAAAGACAATAAACCTTGGTGAGCCTCTTATTCTCATCTCTTGGCACTCCTTCCTCACTCCCTGACACAGTTAGAGCAATAAGGGAGGACTGCCATAATAACACGTTGGTAATTATCTACAGTATATGAACAGTATTCACCCAATGGCTCAGAAAAGGTTGTTTCCGATTTACGTTACATCCAGGTTACGTAGTCTTGAGGAACCAACCCTTTACGTAACGCAGGGAGTTGGTACTTTTTTTAACCGCAAAATTCTCTCAGCAACACTTTAGGTTCCACACCGGCCCTAAGCCGGTGTTTTCAATTGTATTTCCATCATACGTGTTGTTTTCACCTTCTCATTTTCTTTAACTAAAACTTTTCAAAGTGTTCCTTGTCGACTGGAAAAACCTAATAAGATTAAAAGAAAAGTTACATACAAGAGGAGGCCATTAGGCCAAACCAGCCTCTTAGACTACAGGAATGTTTTGTAAATCGGCCTGCTACGAGGAAGTTGCTATCTGTTGAGCTTTGCACTTAGTGTATAACCACATCGAAGGCCAAAGACATATTTATCTTTCTTTGGGGTTAGTGTTGCTAACAAGACTCTATAATTCTGTGACAGATACAGGTATTTCAGATTTCTATTTTCATCAATTTCAGCATATTGACCTCTGACTGTCACAAACTGCATTTCATTCACACATTACGGATGTACAGTACTGTATGTATGGTTTGTCTCATACAGTATGTGGCTGTATTTTAGGCACTGGAGCCACAGAGAAGCATACAAATCTACTGAGCATAAAAGACCAGCCACATATCCCAGAGGGTTTATGCTGTAATATTGTTTGAGCTGCACAGGGTTATGTCACTGTAACAGTCCCTCTTCAAATAAGCTCTGTTACAATTTAGTGCTAAAGTTTGTACACTACGCTATTTACAGTGTGGAGAAGTCTGGCAACAGAACTGCCATGGGAATATAATCTGTTCATTTCCTGTTAGTGACGGTCCAGTGTACAAAGTCATTTGTGTCACGCAGCCTTTCCTAAACAAATTAACAAGTGCCGGTCAGCAGAGCCTTCAAGTTATTGATGGTTGAAAATGTGTGGGACCTGATAGTATGGCATAAGTGAGAGTAAAGTAAAACGAATTAAGTTAAACTGTTTTAACTGTTGATATGTTATAGGGCTGTCTTTCATTTACTAAAAAATAGTACCCTGTAATGTGGCACAGAGTAGAATAATAGTTGTACCATGGTTACTAGAAAGATAACTATTGTCAAAGTTAAGTGACTGTGGGTTTTTTTGGTATTTAAAAACTGAAACGCATGCAAAGTGGGCATACATAAAATTTTATCTGCAAAATATTTATCCAAATACAGTAAATTATATTAATGGTATTTAAAATGATGCCTTAAAATTCTATGATAATATAAAAATATATTATGAATGGCTCTTACAAACAGTCCTATCACACTATATTTGCCTTTCCAACCATTCCTAAAACAACTTTGAACTTATAGTTAGTTGTATTTACAGTACTTATTGTATAATTGAAGGTTGACCTATTACAGTATGTCACATGACTAAAGATACAGTATTTCTGAAAATCTGAATGAAAATCCAAAGTCAGTTTCCCAGAATTTCATTTGTAGCTGTGATAAAAACAGATAAGCAACTGTACAGTAAACGTTATTCAGCAGAAATTGTTTCGCTTAATGTGATGTCATAAATTAAATGAGGAATACAAGAAGTCAAAATCTGTATAAAATACAACTTTACCCAGATAACAGCAGCTGTTACATAAAAACAATCAAGCCTTAACTTAACAACCCTACATTCCATTTAAATAAGTGTTGCATTGTACATACAAAACTACATCTTATACTTATGATGCAGAAATCTGGTTAGGTCCTATAGAATGTAATAGAGGGATGAAATATGTATTTTGTCCTTTAAATCAAGTAGACTGGTCCCAGTAAACTAACCTCTTAGAAATGCAAAAAAGTGTAATGTCTCACAACTTTGGAAATGTTGAACATGTAAGCAAATGTTAGTTACCAGGAAAAAAGAAAAGCAGTGTTTGGACAGAGTAGAAATCATGACATTGACAAGATTAAGTCCAACGATGCTATTACACACACTTCAAACAAAAGACAAGAACAAACCGCAACAGACATCGCTTGGTTTCATGCAGTCAAAGGCAAAAATACTGTATCACTGCAAAAACTCAAGCTGGACAGAATGGGAGCAGAGTGAGCTGAGTCTGATGAAACCAGCTAACACCTATTGCAGATGGGTTTACTCTTGCAAACTGAGCTCTCTCAGACTCTGTCTGCAAAACTAAACCTAGACTTTTAGTTACAGACCTTCATAAGGCTCTAATCCTTCGTCTCCATTTTCTGGGAAGAAACGAAAAAGGAACCAAAGCAGAAATGTTTAATAAGAAATTAAAGAAACTGAATTAACAACAATAGTATGAATCTCAATAAAAGATAAACTCATTTTAGGGTATTCCAGTGATAATGACAAATATACAGTATAAAATTGCATTTTCCAATTCTCCAAATTGCATATGCGAAAACATATACTCTATTGCAATGCCTACTGTATCTTTCAACAGGGAAAAGAACAAATCTTTTCCTTTTATTTTTCTTGTACCCAAGCAGCTAACATAAACCATTATATAAATACAGCTTTCTCATCCGTTACTACAATATACCAGCCTACCACACAATGACAGCAAGCATTTTCCAGGACCAGTTAAACTATTGCTTCTATTTAGCAGCAACAGTTTCGCACATTTCTTAACCCAGATTTTTGTTAGTCAACAGACAAGCTTCAAGGCTCTGATCAAGAACCCACCACAACCACCGCTGTTCATATTAATACAACCACCAATGGTACTTCAAGAGATCTGTGGTGTTAATCAACACTGCCAAACAAACAGACCGACAGAATCGATTCTTGTTTTTAACTGTGATAAGCAAAGTCAAACGCCAAAGCGCAGCTCAGCTGGTGAGTATTTCACAGAACTATTCCTCTTTCTCAGTCTAAAGGTGCGGGCAAGAGACTTGTTGAAAAGAGCTGCGCACTTACTTCTTTCCAACGAGCCCTTCGCAGGAAGCTGTGGCAGCTGCCTCCCTCTTCGCCCGGCCATGGGGGTACTTGTGGGGCTAGTCTGCACCGATCCGCTACGTGGGTGTGCCCTGCAGGACACAAAGCAGTTAGCGATGGGGGGAGGAGCGCTCAGGGTTCCCTCAAAAGCATACCTCGGGTGGGCAGCCTAATTTCCTCAAGCACCCAGTGATTCCACAGTACTGCTGTGTGAGAGGAAAAGAGTTTTTTTTTTCCTTACCAGTTATCAGTGAAAAAAAAAAAGCCAGCAACAACAAAAGCCAAAACCACACACCTTAGGACAAAACATGACATGGATGAATAGTTATAAAACAGATTTATTTTACTATACAAGCTCCAGAAGTAAGATGGAGTGTAGAACTGAAACATTTACTGTACATATACATACGGTGCATATATGTACAATCATTGTCATACGCAACAGTGAAGGTGCTCAAATTTGTTGTCTGCTTACAAAATTAGTTGAAACTGATTTTCACCAGAAGAAAACTAAACAGTGATTGCATGACCATAAACGTGTGTTGTGTGATTACTTTTAGACCTTTTATCAACTAAATCTACCTTAGAATTGTTCCAGGCTTCCTAAAGTATATCCCAAGGCTCCACCTACAGTATGACTGTAACTGGAATATCTGCTTTGTGAAAGCAGTGCTTAAAACCACAGTAAAGGTATTATAAGTGAAACTGTTTAAGCACAGTATTAGTATGAATAATAAATGACTGTTAACTTTTAATAATAATCCTTAATCGATAATAACATGGTATTATAGTTAAAAATTGTTTAAGTATTGGCTGTGCCTTTGCAAATACATGGCTTGTACCCAGAAACAGATTAACCTCATTTGCATATCACTTCTGGTAGTAAATCATACAGTATATGTAAGTAGTAGTGCAATAATTGTCATTTTAAAATATGATGAACTCTAAAAACATGCCTACAGAAATTATTTATCCCACAAGTTTTATCATGATTTATTCAAACTGGATTACAGTGATCAGTTCTTATAATCTTGTCCATTCTAACGAAATATAGCTGTTCTCTACATTAGTTTGAATAAAGCTCCCAGTTGTGTCTCTTCTTCTGAAAAGTGTTTTAATCCAACTGGGTTTATGAATATTGACCAAATATAGTACGTCCTACTTCATATTTCATGCACAGAGGCTGACTTTTTGCCAAGTTTTTTTTCTTTTTTTCTGCTGTGATATATTTTTAGTCTTACTTTAAAAAAATCTATTTTTTTTGTCACCCTTTTAGTTCAAGTTTGCAGTGAAGAGGCATCAGTAACTTTGTACACAGCTGTTCACACTGTGTTTTAACACAGAAGAGAACTAAGTTATAAAAATACTTTGACTGTCAGTGTATATAATGCAGTCATGAAAAACTACAGTATATACTGTATTTGGTCATACTCCTGCAATCACTGTTTGTCTTCCTGTCAATTAAAGCTATATTGTTAGTGAAAAGGTATACAAATTATATGTTGGAATGTTATGTTATACAGTAGATGTTGATAAAAAACACAAGTTGAGTATGTGCATGTATCCATACATAAATACACCTGTGCAAAATATATTTACATATATTACATGCACGTGATGTATATGAGGATGCAAAACAGGATTTTGGAAGAAAAAAAATAATTCAGAATTTGAAGAAAATAGGAGCTCGGTTGCTCTAATTAGTTTATCCTAACACCACGCTTATGGCATTGTACAGTTGTAGATTCAGCATAGGATTTTCACATGGTTTTACTGTAGACTGCTAAGAGAAATGAAGAATGCACATCCACATTTTTTTGAGGTGCTGCCCAGTAAGAATGAATAAAACCAATGGTCAATCTATGAATT